GCAGGTCTAGGGAGATCTGATCTTCGAATTCCAAGTCGCAGTCCTCTTTCCACTATATTACAGTTATTTTATGGGACCTAGTTTACTTTGCTTACCTTGGCCATTCTTTTGCATGTAACTTGATCTATTTTATCCATAGACTTCAGTCAGTGGGGTACAGTGGCACACACCTGTAATCCCAGCTTCTCAGGAGGCTGAAGCAGGAGGATTGCAAGTTTGAGGCTATCCTGGGCAATTTAGTGAAAGAAAAATAAAAATTTTAAAAAGGGCTTGGGATGTAACTCAGTATCCCATGGGTTCAATTCCTAGTAGTGAAAGAATAAAAGAAAAATCTATGTCATATTAAGAAACATTATTTCACATTATTCTGAAGGAATACATATTACTTGGTAGGGAAGTTATTGTATTTTGTTTAAAATGTCTTGATATGACTTTCCAAATCACTGACAAAATTTCCTAAAAGTGAAGGTGCAGTAAGTGAAAGACAAATGAATTCCTGTCCCAATAAAATCCAATTTTTAGATATTCATAGTTGTACTTCCTATTTAATTCCCATTTAATTTTTTTTGGCTGCTTGCATGAATTTACCACATTTAAAAACACATAATTCATATTCTATATCTGCACTTGTTCAGTACTTAGCTGTCTTTACTGTATATTTTTAAATGAAAGTACTTAACTTTTTCATCATTATCACTTTTATTTTTCTTTTGCAATACTGGGTATTGAATCTGGGACCCCATGCACGTTAGGCAAACTTTCTACACTCCCAGCCTTGCATCACTACTTTTTAGGCTTTTATATAATTCTTAAAAATTTTTTTTTTTTTGCAGTGTTGAAGACTGAACCTGGGGCTTTGTATGTACTAAGCAAAGGCGCTGCCATTACATTCTTGAATTTTTTCTTCAAAATATGGTTAAAGAACAAAATAGTTGGGTGTGGTAGTGCAAATCCACCCCAAACCCAGGACTTTTTTTTTTTGAAACAGGCTCTCCTGGTAGTATAGAGTTCAGGCTGAACTCACTATGTAGCCCAGGCTGATCTCAAACTCACAGCGATCCTCTTGGGTCATCCTCTTCCGTCAGCCTCTCAAGTGCTGGGATCACAGGAGTTTGCCACTAAGTCTGGCAAGCCCAGCGCTCTTGAGAAATTGAGGCAGAGGGATCACAAGTTCAAACCCAGCTGGAGCAATTAGGGATTTAGTGAGACTCCAAAAATAAAGAATTTTAAAAAAAGTTCTGGATGTATCTCAACGTGAAGGACCTGGATTCAATTCCCAATCTCACAAACAAACACTGACCAACATGAGATATACCCTCTAAATGTACTTCTTTTAAATGGATAATTTTTTTTTCCTTTTTGGTGAATTAGAAATACAGCAAAATGAAACCAAAGATAAACATTTAAAAATGTAAACAATAGTCAAATTATGTTAAAATGGATTGGCTTCTAACTAAATGAGAAAAATAGATCAACGTAACCTTTTTTTTTTTTTGTTACGGAGATCGAACTCAGGACTTTACACTTTTGAGGCAGGCGGGGAACCACTGAGCTAAATCTCTGGCCCGGTCAATGTAATATTTATAGTACACATATGGTAAAACCTAAGAAGGCAAAGATGCTTGATAGCATATTAGGAATTTTGTTGACAAAAATTTTTGGGACAAGGTCTCGCTGTGTAGTCCTCACTGTGTAGCCCAGGCTGGCCTCCAACTCTCGGCGATCTTCCTGCTTCAGCCTCCAGGGTGCTGGGATTACAGGCATGCACCACCACGCCCTTTTGTTGAAATTTTAATTAGATTTATATCAAACAATCTGTGAAAGACACGTGAAAAGGTAGTTCCTGGCAGTGCTAAAACTATGGAAAACAGGGATAGGTGGAACAGGCTTCCAGCGTCAGGCTCCTTCTGTCTGCCTTCCACACCATTACTGGACTTACTTGGTGTCCCTCGCTTAACCCCTTTGCTTCTCTTTCCTTACCTACAAAATGGAAATAATAGTAGAATCTACCTGACAGTGTAGTGGGGATTAAGTGAGTTAAAAAAAAAATAGTGGCTCGAAGTGCTGAACGCTTCCTATTTTACTGTCGTCATCTTGTCACTTCTTTACTAAAATCCTGTTGCGTTGTCCATATCCTCGATCAAAGGAAGCTACCCTATTCTTAAAATACCTTCTTCATCCATTGCCTCCCGTTTTGGCTGTCAGTACCTGGATCGCCAGGCTCACAGATCATTTTACCCCACCAGCTCCATCGAAGGCTTTCAAAAATAAGCCACTAAACCTAATCACCATGCGACGAAGTTTAGGTATTAGAACACCTAGAGAGGATTTACAAAATAAATCTTCTGTATGGAGAACACCCCGGCGAATCCAAAGCCAAAACAAACTTTTCAGTAAATACCCATTTTCCTTGCTTTTCACTGACGTCACTCGGTCACTGACCTCTGACGCAAAGAAGGCGGGATTGGGCAAGCAGCTGGACTTCTTCCTTTCCCGGCCGCCGCTGGACCGGCTGGCCCCGCCCGCGGGTCGATTCTGCGTTTCCATTGGTCACCTTTCCAAGGAGGCTGACAGGGGTGGGTTGGGGTGGTGGTGACCCCGCCTACCCTATGGGCGGGGCCTTCCCGCAACTTGGTCCGGGATGATGGGGTTAGTCTAGCCGCCATCTTGGATTCCGCGGTAGCGGCGGCGGCAGTAGGGCGCCGCTTCTGGGGAGTGGTTCCCCCCCCGCCCCGCGCTCGGTGGCGGCGGCTCCTCCCACTGTGGGGGGGGGTGGCGCGGCGGCGGCGACACCTAGGTCATGGCGGCAACTACTGCTAACCCAGGTGAGGAGGAGGGGCGCCGCTGAAGGGAGAGCGGCCGAAGGGGCTGACAAGCGAGGAGACGGAGGGCTGAGTGGCCGTGGCGGGGACGGAGGCGCTGGGACTGGCGGCGACGACCTGCTGTGGGGGAGGGGAGGGGCCTGGGGGAGGGCCGGAGCCTGGGCGGCGGGGAGACCCCGGGCGCGGGACGGGGTCGGGAGCGGGGGCTCCCCTGCCCAAACTTTCTCGAGCGGCGGCCGCGCAGGCCGGCTGCCGGCACTCTGCGGGCGGCGTCTGGTCCTGAGATGTGGTTGTCTTTTAACCCTGTGCGGGCTGGAGCTCCCCTTGCCAAGAAACTGCTGCCAGGAGGGGGTCTGTTTACTTGGAGAGAAGTTTGGCGTCGTAAACATTGGACCACGTTGCTATTTAGCGGAGGTGTGTGTTCCAAACACTTAAGCTTGTAGATTTTAATTTAAAATACAGTATTCTATAAATATGTGCTTACATTCTCTGGGCTTTATCGCCCACTGCTGCCCACTCGGGCTGTACGCTGAAATTTGTGTTTACATTTTAAGAGGGTCCACAGTGTTTTCAGCTGCTGAGGACAGAGATTTTATGTATAGTAGTTGTGATTCAGGACAGGTCTTTCGGCAAGGACCCCAGATTTAAATGTTATTAGGCCTAAGTCGAGGCACTTCCCATTCTTTCAGAAAGATTTATTTAATGCCATTCTTCCCTTTTTTTCATGCTATTTTCTCAATGCACATTTAAAAAATGTAGCCCGTCATGTCTAAGAGATGGAATAAGTTGTGATGCAGGTCTAGGGAGATCTGATCTTCGAATTCCAAGTCGCAGTCCTCTTTCCACTATATTACAGTTATTTTATGGGACCTAGTTTACTTTGCTTACTTTGGCCATTCTTTTGCTAAGCAAAATCCAAACTTTCCTAGTCATCTTTGCTAACCTTAAAAAAAGCAGAGGGAGGCAGAGGGCAGTGTGGGGTGAGAGGAGAGAGGTTGGAGGTAGGGAAGAATTCTTGCTGTCCTCAAGTTGGAGTTTATTTTCTTCATATCTCTGAAGGTGGTATTATTTTGCAATACTCAGGTGTTGATATTACAGTTGAATCACTATGAAATTTACTGTCTTTCCCCGTGTTTCTGGGAATAGAGTTGTTTTAAGAAATGGCAAATTTGTTACACGTCAGTGTCAGTTTTTTAATCGTTAAAAACATTTTAAGGGAAGGGGAGATAAAATTAATGACTAAATTTCTCTTGGAAGAAGTGCTGAGTGTTAGAACAAAACTGTACAGTTGAAAAATGCTACAGGGAAAACCTGAACTTGTGGAAAAATAATCTATCAGTGAACGAGGGGTAAATAAACAAGATTTTAAACTGTTCACACAATGCAAAATCCTTATATAACCCTAGTCAGATCGCAAAGGATTTCTTATTAAGAAGTGGCCTGGGTAAACAAGTTTTAGTGCATATGGCAGAAGCTTTTTTCCAGCTGTGTGGGTGGGGTTACTTTGTCTTGTTTTTTAAACAACAGTCACCAGAATGACAATCTCTTGTCCTTATTTTCAGTGGCTGACCAATATCACCTTAAACTCTTAAGCAGAAAATAGCATTTTTTTGAATGCAGAATCCTTGTCAGTAAAAGGGTTGGTTTGCTGTTGCTGTTGTTGTTGTCTTTGGCTGCTTGCTTCTGAAATTTCTAGATTTCTTTTTTGATGCTGAACAATTCTTCCATTTTCTTTTGAGTTACTGATTGCATATTCACTACGTGATAATTACATCAGAAAATGTATTTTTTTCCTTCATTTTTCCCTTTGCCCCTTTTTATCAAAAGGAAGAGATCATAGACTCATGGACTTTTTTAGTAGCCTGTTGCATTTTGGGAAATGAGACCCACAAATGGAGAGACACAGGGTGGAAAAGTACTGTGCTCAGTGAAAAGAAGTTGGTTTTCAAATTCTTTGCTCATTGTCAGATCTTTTTTCTTTGCACTTATTTTTTTCAGTTTTTTTCTACTTTGTATTTGGGCTGGAGTGAGAACTGGTTAAGTTTCTCTGCAAAAGATTTTAAAAAAGGGATTTCGCTTTTCTCTCTAGGCTTTAAATAAAGTTAATCTTTAGTTAAAGTTAATAGCAGTGCTTAGTCATGTTAATTGTACTTACTCAGATGTAGGGCCTCTTTGCTGCTGGTCCTTCAGTCTCTTCAGGGACCTGGTTCCTCTACATTTTTTATTATATTTTAATATGGTGCTGGGTTAGAAGAAAAAGATTTGTAGTCTCTGAGTTGTGTTGAAGTGATAGTTCTAATGTGATGATGACTTTTTTCTGTATGAATTGGTAATTCTTCATATTCTAGTATTTTTCATTAATACTACTTACTAGTGGTAAGTAGTTTTCTTGTCTATGAATTATTAACAGTGTCAAGAAACACTTTAAATTGGATTTGCAGTTTGCAGTACCTTGACCAAGGGACTAGTTGGCAAAAGGTTGGGTTTTGATTTGATTTATAATTTAATGTTCAAACCTGAGATGTGAATTAGTTTGTCGTATTGTTTTTTCCTCCCTTCATTCTAGTATTTTCATTAGCAGGGAAGTCATTGGGTGTACTATGAAGTACATTTTATTGCTGATGGAGAATGTAGTAGAGGGAAAAGCAAGAAACACTGGGCTTGTCAGGCCGACATTTAGGCAAAACTTTTCTTTTTACATAATTTTGATTGATATAAGTTACAGTTTTAAACATCAGTTAACAAAAGTCTTACTGTGGATTGAACTTAGGATCTCCAGCAAGCTAGGCAAGTGATGAACCACTGAGCTACATTTCCAGCTCTTATTTATTTATTTGGTAACAGGAATCGAACTCAGGACCTTGTGCTTGTCAGGCAGGTGTGGAGCCGCTGAGCTGCATCCACAGCCCAATTTTAAAATTTTGAGCAGGGTCTCATTACGTTGTCCTGGTTGGCCTTGAATTTGCAATCCTACTGCATTAGCCTCCGAATGGCTAGGGTTACAAGTGTGTGCCCACCATGCCCATGCTCTCCCCGTACTCTCAAAATTCTTACCCGTTACCTTCATAAACCTTTTTCAGATTTGAGAAAATAGGAATTCAGGCAGTGTGAAGTTGTCAGCTGGGCGTGGTGGTGCATGCCTGTAATCCCAGCACTTGGCAGGCTGAGGCCGGAGGATTGCTGGGAGTGCGAGTCCAGCCTGGGCTGCGTAGTGAGTTCAAGGCCAACCTAAACTTCATAGCAAGACCCTGTCTCAAAAAACAAAAAGTTAAGTTAAGATACTTTTTATAAGTTATATTCTACTGCAAAGGCCCTGAGAAGTAATTAAACATTTTATTAATTCAGCAGTAGAAGTACAATTGACATTTTTGAAAAGGAACCTCAATCTGCATACTTTTTATGCAGTGGATTTGTGGTAGCCAACATGAATCTTCTGTGTTTTCTTAGAATTAAGAAAATAGTTCTGCATTCTTGGAACTTTAGTTGTTATTTTGAAATAGTAATCTCAGCTTAGTTTTGGCCTTCTAGTTCTTCTCTCATTCAAAAAGTTCACTAAGAGATGAGACATTGATTTATTTTATAGATGTTTTGTGGAAGTATTTTGTGGTTGGTTCTGTTATGGGTGACTTTCTTCCAAGGCAATAACAGTAGGAATTTCTACATGCCAAATGGTGGTTGATCTTCAAAAACTCAGTTGTAGCATTAAAGGGAAACTGAACTTTTTTCTTTGAGTTTACTTAGGTCATAATATCTTGGAGTTTTTAAATTCTAAAATTGGTAAACTGGCTAAATTTGAGTCCTCCATTGTGAAAACTGTTTCTGGAGTCATTTTTTTCCCCCTAAACTATTTAAAAGATATATTTAAAATGTTAATTCCCTAGTATTATAGTCCCATAGAGAGGTGCAAGAGTATTATTTTGGTCAGCACTACCTAGTGTTTCTGTGTTTAATAGCTGATTTCATTTAGACATAACAGTGAGCACATTTGAAGCTCTTTTGAAAATGTAGAGCCTGAATTCAGTGAACATGCCCAATTATAGGCCTTGCTCGTACATCATTTGTTTGTTTGTTTTTTGAGACAAGGTCTTCCTGTGTAATTTAGGGTGGGCTTGAATTCACTCTGTAGCCCGGGCTGGACCAGAACTCTCAGTGATCCCCCTATCTCAGCCTCCCTCGTGCAGGGATTACAGGCCTACGCCAGCACGCCCAGCTTTCATCCTTCTGTTTTTAAGAATGCTGCTTTTGTGCCTTGCTGACTTCAGTGAGTAGATGTTAATGAATGCTCAAGTTGGGAAGAAGACAGTTGTTCTGATTTACACATAAGTAAACAGCACTAGAGAAAGGAATGGACACATTGATTAACATTTAGTAATTTCTCTGTGTACCAGGATATATTTTCTTATTTTATTGGTTAGTCTCTGTATTAGAAATTATCTCCCACTTTTCAGGTACATTCTCTAAATTTTTGTCTTTCATCATTTTTTTCCTGTGTATTTTCCCTCTACTTTTTTACTGTAGTTTACGAGACAAAGCAAGGTTATGGCTTTGGTAATGTAGTTAAAACTTAAGCTCCATGGGAACACTTGTTTTCCTTATTCATCATGGCATGCTGGTGCTTACAGTACTGCATAGGACTGGAGTTCAATTAGTGTTAGTTGAATAAATGAGTGAATGTAAGACCAGCATTGGAGGTTTTCCATCGAAAGGAAAAAGCCTTTGAAAGAACATGGGTTAGGCCATTGGCATCAGGAATTGTAATTATATAGCTGTATAATTATAGTAACTATAATAAGAACTGCTAACACTTATTGATAATGTGACAGCTTTTCCAGCTTAATTGTTGTATATTTTATCTCATAATCTTTACATGAGTCTTAGATCAATGCTATTAATCCTTTTTTACAGATGAGAAAACTAAGGCACAGAGTAAATAAGTAACTTTTTTGAAGTCACATAACTAGTAGGAGGTAGAGACATAGTTTGACTGCTGGGACTCAGCTCTT